ATTCACCACCGTGCTTCTTTGTTTTCGATCAAATCACAAGTGTTCACTTCTTTTAACGAAAAAATGTTTTTCCTTTTTAACCACAAGAAAATCTGTGTAAGTCCACAACTTTGCGTGTTTCGCTGTTGGAATGGATGCTTAGCCGAGTTGGCAAGACATAGTGGATTATTTAAAACTGTGCAAAAGGCAGAAAACAGCCATAGGAAGCCTACAAACAAAAGCACTGTTTTGTGCGATATTTGCTGTGCAGAAACCAAACAAAACGAAATATGATTATTTCCGTAAAGCAGGGTTTAAGTATAGGACAGCGTTAGTGGTTTTGTCGTATAAATAAATTTAAAGGCGTATAGGTGGGTGCACCGACAAAATTCCACCCAAAAACAATTTTGAGAAAAGCTTGATTACGGGCTTGATTAACGATGATATGGCTTTCATTACTGGATGCGCTTTCTTCCTACCTACCTACCTACCTACCTACCTACCTACCCACCTACCTACCTACCTACCTACCTACCTACCTACATACATACATACATACATACATACATACATACATACATACATACATACATACATACATACATACATACATACATACATACATACATACATACGTACGTACGTACTTGCAATGTTAAAAAAGATCAATTCTGGAAAAAAATGTACAGGATGTAAACGACAAACGCTTTGAGACTATCTTTGATTGACCGCTACCGAAGGAGGGTATGGCCAAGCTCAGGCTTTTATGAACGACTACAGGCACTAGAACCGCTTGAGAAATATGTCACTCAAGATTTGTAAATACACTGAAGGAGACCACAAGTGGAAAAAGGACTACAGCACTAGAACAGACGCACCCGATATCAGTTGCAACACGTTACCCGTGTTCAAACCGACACCAACACATGCACGGTGGCACCGACATAGATAACTGTCAGTTACATAAAAAAGTGTAAATTTAAGCACTCATTTTCTTTGTCAGACACAATATGATGAGAACTAGCAGACAAGGATGCCAAGAAAAGCATAGGTGATAGAATTGCAAGTATTTTTAATGCAAAAATGCTTAAATTGCCTCTAATATCATCCCCTATACTTTCCTTGACATAATTGCCTGTTTGTTTTCATTATTATTGCATCTATTCAGTGACACAGAAACTATTTCGACTGCCGGTATTTCAAAATCAGTTTTATTTTTGCCAGTGTCTATTTCGACTGCCGGTATTTCAAAATCAGTTTATTCTTGCCAGTGTTGCAAAGTAACCCTAAGGCCTTCTCAGCCACGCCTGCCGCACCACTCTACCGTAGCTGCTCATATCTTGCATTGAGTACTTAATATTGGGCAATGAGGTACGTCACTTTGAACGGCTCTGCGAGAATTCCATTCACGTGTCGTTCTTCACAGTGCCACATTATTTGCGACAACATTGCGGACTCGGTGCATTCAGTGCACATTAGAATGGTGCTATGACTGAAGATGCTCTGACGCAGTGACCATGCATCATAAGAATTCAATCACCAACGAACCTACCGGCAGTTGTATTAAATAACCCACAAGGAAACGAGCAGGCGATTCCGGAAGCTTGAAATAGAAACACTGTCTGCCTTGTTTTGGAAGTGGGCGTGAGTCAAATCCGTTGAGTGGTACAGACCTTATCAATCGGTAGCTCGTTGGAAATCCGCTCCCGCTTATTCCGCGCGAACAGAAGCCCACAATCACAGATAAAACCAGCAAAAATGCTATACAAGATATTCAAGTTGGAGTGTTTGATATGTTTGGGCGGTATTAAAAATTCCCAAAGCATTTCCGCCTATTCACACTTACCTGCATCAAGAAGGTGGTGGCACTTCTGCCGGTGAAATCTTTATGCATTCTGTATGTTTGGTGTAATGTAGAGAACATCTAATGATACTCCTGTATCATTTGGTAAAACTTCTTAAATTCAGTTGTATTATACGAAGAGATCCTTAGCTACTAACATTGTAAGTTAAAGTGGAAGATTCTGAAATTGCCATAATATTGTAAATCAACATTACAATAACTGATTCAGCCCACTCATATTGCATCGCACGAGATAAGACCAGTCATTCAATAAAGCCCATTCATTCCCAATGAATGTACAAACTAGCTCCAGTTTTCAAATATGGGCTGTCGATCACACAGTAAAATGCTATTGCATTGTCGTTTTAAAACGACTTGTTTCTGTGCGTTTATTCCCAAATCCTATTCCCGACCTAAACTGCGTTTCCCGTAATTCGGCAACGTTTTTTCAATATTAGTAACAATTAAAATATTATCATCTACAAAGCTTACACACTTGGGTTAAAACGTAGGGCAATATGAAGCCCGAAATACAAGTGTATCGCGTTAACTTCTATAGGACCCGCATAAACGTATCATTTGGCATGTAAATACATAGGGAAAGGACCAATGAAATGGTCATGCTGCCCGACAAAGTGGCACAAGTAACGGCATCACTTCAACCTCTTTGTTTAAGCAGCAGTGCCTTAATTAATTTGTCACCTCTATTGTGGAGCCACTTTGATGATAAATATAACAGCACCGTGCACATCCCTCAACAGTCCACAAGGCAGTGAAAGCCCTCTTGTGCTTTTTGAGGACGACGGGTTTGTGTAAACGCCTCTGACTTGCGGTCGAGTTCTATACACTGCAGTGAATTTGCTGTCCGCTCTCCCTTTTTCTTTTCCTCCTCTTCCCTGTTTCTGACATTTCTACACCCCTTCCCGAATCCTTCCGTGTAGGGTAGCCAGCAGTTTGTTTTTCTGGTTAACCTACCTGCCTTCTTCCTTGGTCTGCTTCCTTTCTTCCTTCGATGATGAACACAAAATAAGCAGACTATATGTAAGAAGCACTACTTGTACATCACATATTTGATTTTTCTTTCAGTGTTGCGAACCAATACCAATGCATTCAAGTTTTTTGCAATATTGCGCATCCGTTCATAATTCTCATAAGAGCCGAAATCAAAATACGAGCATTGTAAGGCATCTAATACCGTGATGACTTCAGAAGGCTAATTGGAAAGTGCTGGTTTTAATGGCCTTGTGACACCTCTCAGTGGGTTTATTTATTTGTTTTTATTTGTTACCGGGTAATCTACAGCGTCATAAGGACACCACTTGAAGGGAAACTTGGGCATCAAAACATATTTGGTAACAGTACAAACACGCTTTACTAATATTATCTGTACAAAAAAAATGAAGTCTTATTAGGAAAACAGTATACATGCACAGGTGAACGAGTGCTTCTAAAACACGATGAGCACATGAAGTTTTATTGCAAGGGGGCTGTTGTGACAAAAAAAATTATCTGATACATTTACCAAACCATTCTTTGAAATCACTCCGTTCTCTAATTGATTACAGAAATTGTATGTCTTGTTGTTCATACGACTCTATACTTCAGTTTCGTATGTTTTTCCTGCTTGTGGGCTACGGTAAACAGTGGTGGACATTTAGAGTTGCTCATTAGGTCGCAGATCGTTCTCCGTATCCCCGAGAGAATATACTGATTGATATCCGATTTCATGGCGGCCGCATTTTTATGGGGGTGAAAAGATAGAAAACCTGTGTACAGAGATGCAAGTAGTAGTTAAAACTGTTATATTATTATTACCAATAATAATAACAGTATTATATATTTATTCTGAATAGCTCCCATTTTAGTATTTTTCTGCAAAATATTGCCTCTAAAGATGGAGAATGAAGTTGGCTTTTGGTTCAACTCTATTTCAATGCTGAGTATGTTGCAAAGAATGCCAATGTTGATGATTGATATGGAGGGTTTAACGTCTCAAAACCACCATATGATTATGAGAGACGCCGTAGTGGAGGGCTCTGGATATTTCGACCACTTAGAGTTCTGTAACGTGCACCTAAATCTGAGCACACGGGCCTACAGCACTTCCGCCTCCATCAGAAATGCAACCGCCGCAGCAGAGATTCGATCCCATGACCTGCGGGTCAGCAGCTAAGTGCCTTAGCCACTAGTGCACCGCGGTGGGGCGAACGGACACCAATGTAACGCAGTGTAATTTTGTCTTTCACACACACGCACACACACACACACACACACACACACACAACACACACACACACACACACACACAAACACAAGGCTTATGGCTTCAGCTTTAAAAAGAAACCATTTTTTCATACACTTCCATGATCGCATCGGTAGTAAGATACAAGCGTACAACAACGGGGTTTCGTTTGTGCTTTCGCTGGACAATGTGCAGCAAAAGCAAATGAAGAATCTCACATGCGTATCTGGAAAACTAAACTGCCCATCCGCGATGCAAGACATTGACGATGGCAAAGGAAAGTAATGTGCACTGGGAATAAAAGTAATGAACAAATATATAAATATCAAATGACATATTCACAAAAAAATGCTTGGCAACCATTCGCTATTGAAACAATGGGTTGCTAAAATAAATAAATAAATAAATAAATAAATAAATAAATAAATAAATAAATAAATAAATAAATAAATAATAGAAATGCCTGATATTGGGCTATTGGAAACATTCTATACGAGGAAAAAACTCATGCTCCAGAGAGTGCTTTCCTTCACAATGAGAAAACAATCTCCTTGCACTATTTCCGCAAGCCAGTAGTGAAATATTCGCTTTAATGGTTTTGCAGTACCTGAAGGCTCATCTTTATCAACCTTACGGAAAACAAGATGTATAATAAAGGAGCCTGTTTTCCAGTGCGAATTCATCAATTGTGCTATATGAGTCCAAGTTAATCTTTTTTTAATACACACCTTTTCTGATGACGTGTATGACGTCACTACTTCACGCATCTGCATATACTCAAAAATTTTCTTGTTTTGCAGCAAAGAGTTGGTAGTTGGCACTCATCTGTTTTACTTCCTCCCGTTTATATGTTCAAAGTTCAACCGAAGCTTTGTGCCGCAAATAACATTTTCAACAAATCTATGATAGAAAAAATATTCATCTGCATCTACGCACCATTTATTCCTTGAGAAGTTGTGAGACCAGTATTCGCTGAAGCGGCGCTGGGATCGACGTATGCCAAGAATTGCACAAGTTAGAACGTTAGCCTGCGAAGCCAAAAAATGAAGGCAGAGTGTGCGGCAACATATTTTGTCCTCGTCGAGGTTGTTTATGAAGCACCTACCTGCTCCCTCTTCCTTATCGCAACACGCTGTTGTATATTCTTTATCAGCCCTACACGGTGGAAGGAAGCCAAACGCGAAGAGCTGGGCAAAGAGATGTGCCCGTAAAGCGAAACGGTCGCTGCGCTCGTAGAATGCGCTCGCGAGCGTTACCTAGGCGCGGCATGTGCTATATGCTCATTGGGGACAGCTTTACACTCCGATGAATTGAAACAGTGAGAGCGTACAGCTTTACTTAGTGCATGTGCTTGTTTAGAGTGTTGGACGATTTCGTCCTGCTTTTGATGTTGATGGGGTTTCCCCACATGTTTGCTGCAAGGCTGTCGTATTTATAAAGTCATCTTGTTAGGTGGGCTTAGAGCTTATATACATTGTAGAACAAAACAGAACGTTCTCGACAACCGTATTAACATAATCCAAGCATTGACACAGCCAGCCTGCTGCGACGATGCGAGTGGGGATTTGAAAGGTTCGAGAAACGTGATTTACGCTGGATCAGCTTGGATAAATCAGCATTTTGCGAACAGAAGCTTTCTAACTTGTAACAACCCTGATTCCATTAAAGAAAACTTAGCTCGAGTATTGTGTTTCCATTTTTTTTCATTTGGAAGAAAAAAAGTGATCCGCCAGATGCCCTCAAACCCGATTTGTGAATACTGGTGCTTATGACGGTCTCTTAATCGTAAGGACATTCTGCCTTTATAGACTGAAATTCGGCATGCTTAAGACTTTATGTAGTAAGAGAGTCACTTTTAACATTGTGGTACTTGAAGAAAAGTTTAATTTTGTTAAAGTACCGCTGACGACGTCGCATATCTCGCCTCGTCAACGTGACTTCTGTGCTTCTAGAACCTGTGACTAAAGTAAAAGCCAAGTCAGGCAAAAAATTTGGGCCACTTGCTGGTAATTCGCAACATTCAAGCTACATTGCAAGACAGATGATGATAAGGAAACAATACACGCGTAGTCTTCCTTTCTTTTCTTTTCTGCTCACTATCTGACGTTGTAGCTTTTCAAGCAGAAGCCTACATAAAGTAACGTAACGGCTAGCCTGTAACTTTGGGCTTCACCTAGATAAAATCTACAGCGATTGTCTTCAGTGGAACCTGTGAAGAAATCGTTAAAAAGATTGCCTCGCACAAAATTTACTAAAAAATGTTTACTGAAGCTTTGTATTAGTTTGACCGCAAACAGCTCTTTCTTTTGGAGAGAAAAGAAAATCTGCATGTGAACCTCACTGTCAAGCTTGCTATATTCATTCATTCAATAAAATTCGCAGAGACAATGAAACCACTATGCCCCTCTACCAGATTCTCCCGTAGAGGGCAAATGTGAAATAAACAAAAGCCAGAGTTAAAGTTTAATCGATGGTAAAGGCAGTTGTAAAAGTTTCAGTAACCTTCACCTCATCCCAGACAATGCATCCTGTAGCGTAACGAAGTAAGCTCAGTCTAGTTTTGATTATATTATATATAAAGTTTAACGTCACAAAACTAACTTATGATTATGAAAGACACTGTAGTTGAGGGCTCTGGAAATTTTGACCACCTGGGGTTCTTTAACGTGCACCCAAATCTGAGCACACGCGCCTGCAGAATTTTTGCCTCCATCAAAACATGCAGCTGCTGCAGCCGGGATTTTATTCCGCGACGTGCGAGTCAGCAGCTGAATACCTTAGCCACAAGACCACCACGGCGGGGCAATGGGTATAGTTTTCTCATCATCATTGCTGCTTGCACAACAAAAGCTAAGATCTTCTATTCCACCCATTTTAGGACATTGCTTTGGTCGCTGCCGGGGGAGCACTGATAAGAGGCCAGGCAATGGCGTACGTGAGTGTAATGGCCGCAGCTCGTAAACAAGCAGTTGAGTGTCACCTGAACGAGCGCCACATGCTGGACAGGCAAAACTTCGAGCTCACTACGATAGTGATACACCTGCAATCTAGATAAGAAGCTCAGGGCGTCGCCCTCTGTGGGCGTTCAGCCTTAAAGAAGTGCTCACCGGCGTTGTAGTCATAAGTTTCACATGCCACATCGACGTACGTGTGCCAGGTATGAAACATGATGATTTGATTAATATGTGGTGTTTAACATCCCAAAAACACCATATGTATATGAAAGACGCCCTAGTGGAGGACTCCGGAAATTTTGACCACATGAGGTTCTTTAAAGTACTCCCCCAGTTATAAAACAGCTCTTTGAAATATACTTCACGAGTCATGCTGGTATATATACAGGCACGTAGTAAAATGATGGCGTTAGTAGTAGGCTTTTTTTGCTATTCATTTTACATTCAACAATGAAGGTATCGTACTCGCTAGACAAAATGACAGGATTTTTATATGTACTTTTGATGTACTTTGGAAGAGATCTTTGCGCAGAGGCGTTGTTGTACCCAATGAAGTTAGTAATTTTTAGAAAATAGGTTTTAAAGAAATTGATAACGAGTGTTTCATTGTGTAAATTTGCGAAATATTTGTTTACTATTTTTGTAAAACATGAGGACTATTGTTTACGCTTAGAGTAAACGAATAAGATAATAAAGAGGCCCAATTTTTCCCGTACTTTTAGTAAAATACATGCAAATGCGAACGTTATTTTTTTCTTTAACAGCTCTTCTAATTTCAACCTGGTTGGCGGCAGATAAGAGCAAAAATTACATTTGAAGTATTGCGCGAAAGAGATAAATTGGCACGCATTTTTAATGAAGCTTATACTGCGTTTTTTAAATATCTTGATTATGAACTACGACGTTTGTTACGTAACGCCCCTGCAGTTATAAAACGGCTCTTTGAAATATATTTCATGGGTCATGCCATTATATATACAGGCACGTAGTAAAATGATGAGGCTAGTAGTAGGGTTTTTTTTTTGCAATTCGTTTTACCCTCAACAATGAAGGCATCGTACTCGCTAGACAGAACGACAGGATTTTCTATATGTACACTGCAAAAAATATGTTCCTTTGATTTCGTAAAAAGGCGTGGTTAACATGCTGCCACTTACTCCCATAAAAAGAAAATAGTACACCAGAAATCTCGCAGAACATATAGAGCGTCCAGCCCATTCAACTTTCACGAATATCTCCCCAATGAAGGAATAAAGTAACGGCTGCATCGGAATAACACCTGCTCCGTAGGGCCATTTCTCACACATTATTCATAATGCTATTGCTACATATCCGTAAGTAACAAACGTGTTTCCATTGGATTCAACATAAGGCATACGTAATCAGCAGATCTTCTGTAAGTGCAAGGTCATTCAAAATTTCCCAGGCCACTATTCCTACTAATCCTGCGGCAGCGTCACCTTAGAATTTTTGAGGGCACCTGCTCATGCTAAAAAAATTACGAAGTGAATTCAAATGTTTAAAAACCAACAGGGACAAGTTTCCTATTTACTGAAATTTAATTTTATTTCCCCTTGTTTATAAAACGAAATACAGCACAGATATGTTAAAAATTGTGTTAACAAAATTACAAAAAAATTATTTTAATTTGGCGGCTTTGTATGTGGAATTTAAAATACAAAGAAAAAGTTTCATAACTTCCACATAGCCAAAGCACCTGTGTTGTTTTTCTATTGTAACAGTATTGTGCAGACTTCTTTTCTGAAAAAGAGAAAAAACATTTTGTCAGCACAACCACACCAGGCGAGTACAGAGCAAAAAACAGTGCGACCACAATAAATTTATTCATTTCAAGACTCCTAATAGGCCTTGGTAGAGGCACTGGCTTGTACCACGAAAATTCATTATCACACATGATAAATAAAAATTCGCATAATACAGAATACAAGGGCTCAAAGCACAAACAACTTCATAAACACACCAAAATATTCGCTAACAATATTAGTTGAGATAAAAGGAGCAAAAGTTAATAAAATTTAATAAACAATAAGATGATTAGCGTTATGCCATGCAAAATCACCCAAAGTTTTTTTTTACCATCATGATTATGGCGGAAAAAATTTCACGTTTCTCGAAGTTGAAAACTCGTCGTGGTCATTTGATTCCGTTGCCGAAAATTTTGCTCCCTAGTTATGAGAGCCTGTAGTATGGCGCCGACTGACCTAAAAGTCGTCAAACAAGAATTTTTTTCCAGAAGTTCTTTTGAAATACACTCAATAAATGGCATTTCCAGCAAGGTAATGAAGTAATCTAACTAAAATAATGACTTACTTCTGTATATCAATTTTTCGAGAGCTTTCCCCACGATCAATTTAATATTGAATAATGTTGTTATGTTTGGAATTTTTTTCTGGTGACATGGGGAATTCCAAGGACACAAATAAAATATATGCTGGTGACGTTTTTGACATGCTACAAATTAAAAATAGTTTACGCCCTGAACAGGGAGTATAACGCAGGGAGTATAACGCAGGAAGTATAAAAAAATTGTGACTTCCACTTTTTTTTTGAAAACTTCTGTATTCAGCATGAAAAAGCTTACCATGGTAGTCGGTCAAAAAATATGCACAATATTTCATTTTGAAGCTCTATGAACTACCTCAATATTGGTGAAGTTACTAAAGGGTAACATTTCTGAAACTCTAGAAGTATTTTTTTGAAGTTATGTATCTCCACCAGCTTTACCCCTACTTAACTCAAGCGGCATGAAGCACCCGCAAGGGCAATCTTCAACAGACTTCCACAGACCTGGTGTACACACAGCAAGCTTGATGCGGAGCAATCGAAATTGGAATGGGACTATCATCTGCATTTCATTGCCAACACAGGGGCGCCACAATGAATGCCGCTAAAGTGTGGAGACCAGTAGCGTAGCAAAGATATTTTTCACACGGGGTAATGTGTTAGCGAAAGGCGACTTCGGTCATACTTTATGTACATTCTTGTATGTTTGTATGTGTATGTAGGTATGCACATGCAGAAATAAGAAAATCACAGCGTATCTACGAAGTGAATGATGATGTGTGGGGCGAAGCTTCAGAAGGTTTTATCGGTAACCGTGAATCCGTCTGTCTGTCACTCACA